CCTCTCCCCCCCCTTCCACCGATGCCGCCACCACCACCAATGGTGACAGCAGTTTCTTTGGGTCTGGGGCCTGGATTGGAGCAGGGGCGGGGCCCCGCATGGGATGATTTGCCCCGTGCCCCGCACCCTGCTCGGGTCAGCTCTGCTCAGAACACTTCCTCCAAAGTGTTCTCAGTTACAGCAGGGAGTTGTGCTTCTGCCCTCACCCCTAATCCTTTACACAGCTGGGGGAAAAAGAGTGGAGAACAATACATTTTTTCCTGTTTAGCTTGTACTTTCTGTGATGAAGTTGCAAAATCTTCCTCTCCACAAAGAAGTGGCTGGTAAGAAAACTCCACTATGGCAAATATTAGATGTCAGCAATGGACTTAGTGGTGAAAACCCTGCAGGCCTCCTGTGCAAGATTAGGCAATGATGGTGCAAGGTTAGGGTCTGAGTAGGGGGGGGGGGTGCCACAATTTGTTCTCTTTACTGTGATGGCATGAAGCATCAGATAGGCTTCATACTAGCACTATATACCCCAATGGGAAAGAAAAGGTTAAAGGGCTAGATACAAGAGGAAGTTGTGAGATTTGAAGCTATGCAGCTCTTGGCTAGGTACAGACAGTCAAAAAGCTTAAACCTGAATCGATTCAGTCTTTGCAGGTTAGTCTAAGCGCACAGATTAAATTGAAGCAGAAGTGAACAGACATTTACCTTTGATTCAGGAAATGCAGCCACATGTCTGCAGTGGCTGAGGTCAGAAGCCGGGGGATGCTAGAGCACAGCTGTCTGGCTGTGGGTTCACTTCCTCTTCTTACTGCCCCTAAGTTCTCTGGGATTTGCAGTCCAGAATTACAGCAGCAGGACTCTGCAGGTTTGCTCACCGCTTCCTCTTCCTGCTTCCAGGTGCCTCTGGGCACCTGTAGTCTACAGTTGCAGCCAACAGTAAGTTTGAGCGGGGGAAGGGGTGTTTAGCCCCTCTTTCTGGCCCCAGACCTCAGCCAGGGTTTGCCTGGGGGGGCAGTTCCCTACCCCCAGTAGACTGGGCTGCATCCCCAGCCAGGCTTGCCCACCTCCCACACCGTTGTAGCCAGCCCTCAAAGCTCCAGCTAGGAAGCAGAGGGGCAGGGCCAGCCCTGGTCTCTGGAGCAGACAGCCCAGCCAAGGGCTGCAAAGCATGCTGGGAGAACCTGATTTAACTTGAACCAGGAAGGGGCCTGGGCATTGGCGACGTGTAGGGGGTGCATGTGGGTGCACAGGCGCTCTCTGACATTGGCCATGCTCCCCCTGAGATTGGCCACTGCTGCTGGTGCTGACAGTGCCTGCAGGCAGTAGCCACTTGCAACCCACCCCCCCACTGCTGACACTGCTGGCGGTGTCCGCAGGAGGTTGCCAATTGCCACTCAGCGCTTGCCACCCCCTTGGCGTCTTCGCTGAGCCTGCCCTTGCCACCGGCATCACTGTGGCCACCTACAGGCAGTTCCTGCTCACTGCCACCATGCCCCTACCACCACCGCCTGCGGGTGGGCCATGCCCTCCCCCAGCCTCGGGAGGCACAAGGCATTCATGGGTCTAGGGTAGAAGTTTCATAAACCAGTTTGACCCAAATCAGTTAAGTCTGATACTACATTCAACCAGGTTTATCTTAAACCAGTTTCAGCCATTTTGAAACTGGTTTATGTGTACTGAACTTCTGTTCTGTTACTGGTTTAAATCAGTTTGTGTGTAACTTCTGTCCCTAGCCCTTATGGCTGTGAACGGCTCACAGTGAGGGGCATAAATTCAGACGTGAGGGGGACAAAACTGGGAGCTACTTTGAATAGCTGAGCAGCTCATACAGGTGAAATGCAACCCTGTGGCCTGCCTCAGAATTGCATTTTCTTCCCAGTGCCGAATTGCCACCTGAAGTCAGACTATGCAGGTTTCAAAAGTTTCACTTCCCAAGCAAAACCAGTTGGCAAAGGGTTAACTAGACTCATGGCAACTGTTCAGTAAAAATGGGGAGGTGGAATAGTGCTCCTGCATCTTAATAAAATGCAGGTGTTTCTACTGTTAGGTTAAAAAAACCTCTAGTCTCGGACTCCAACAAGCATGTAAAAACAAGAGCTGAACGTTGTGGAAAGAATGTGCTATTGAATAACGAGAGAGCAGTTTGGAAAGGCAACAATGGACTGTGCTAGGGGGTTGTGAGGAATGCTTCAGTCACTGGCTGAGGTCTACCTTAAAGTTCACAGGGGAAAAAACCACATAAATCTTACATGAGCAGCTCATCTCACATGTGCTTGGCCCCCAGTGTCTTATACCTGGGATTAACTTTTAACATTCTTCTCACAGTCACTTTGGCTTGGCTCTCTCAATCTCTCTCTCCAAAGGATTTAAAACAGCATTTTAATTTTTTTTCTTCCTGTTTTCTTGTCTCTGTTTATGGAACCCATAAGATACACACACACACACACACACAGCATGTGTGCACAGATAGTGCATGCACACACACACACACACACACACGCACACACACACAGGGATAAGCCTGTGTTGGGGAAAGGAAAGTTGTTGATACCATGGGACAGATTGGTTTAGAAAACAGCTTTAAATTCACAAATATTAACTTTTCTCCTTTTCAGCCCACACCCATGCCCACCAAAATAAGCTCTGCAGAAAATGGTTTTGAAAGCAATTGGATGGGATTCGTATCTATAGTTTTCTTACTTCAGCAAGGGGTCAGTTTGAAGAGCAGGCAGAACGGTAGGTTTTGGCCTTGTTATCAGTCAACTTGAGAAGAGAAGTAGTAGGGAGATAGGTAGGGAAGCAGTATCTGAAGACTGAAAGGCATGGACATGATCCTGGTGCCTACCCCAGGGCATTTGTGATTGGCAAGAACAGGGCTCTTACAGTGCTGTCATCCTTGGGATTTTAGCTACCCCTGTAGAGAAGGCCTTTACATACCAGTACATAGATACCACCCTGAAAACTCAGTCTCTAAAAGAAGCAGCAGAACAGAGATCTTACTGAGGGCACAGCTTGCATGTCACTGATGCCTTCCACCACTGCAGCAGAAAGAAATATATATTCCACCAAGAGTTCCATCACCCCAGGAGGCAGCTGAATAACTGTGGGGATATGCCGTAAGAAGTTTCACAACAGGATTTTAGTGGAAGATACAGAGGCAACCAGTCAAACTGCCAATCCTTTCATCAGGGGGCCTGCAGCTACCATTTCAAGACAGGTGAAGCAGTAATAAGTACCAAACAAAGCAAGTTAATCTCTGCCCAGAGAAGTTTTAATAAGGAAAGTAAAATTTGAAATCAGGGCAGCTGCATGAGCGCTTACCAGCTTTTGTTTAAGTGGGAGCAGAAATTTCACTTATGACAGGATGAGCAAAAAAACAACCTCCCAACAATCACAGCAGGAAACCCAAACTAGCACATTTCCTGACATGTTATCATATACTGTGCATCATTGCACCATGACCTCATTGAATAGGTCTCTTGCTATTTGGGGTGTCTGCAGTGTGGGAGTAGTGTAGAGACACTGTGCTGATGATGTGACAGAGGTAGACAAGGAAGGGGGTGCATATTTACTTTGAGCTATCCTCCTCTTCCCCACAAACATCTGAATGTTCCCCTTCCGGACTTTGCACCGTCATCAGAAAAATGCACCTCTACAAAGCTTTTCCTCCAGATGCTGGTTTAAAAATATAGGGCGTTTGTAGACGAAACAGGGGCCGTAAATTGAAGCGGCGGGTTTTAAAAAACACTGCTTCAGTTTAGGGTCGATTAAACCCTCACATCGTGCACACACCCCACTGACTTACCTGCCTCTCCGGTGGGGAGGGGAGGGCGAGCTGCTAGTGGGCAGAGCGGTCCCTGGGCTGTGGTGGGGCTGGTGCTTTCCCCTGCGGCAGTGGCGGCTGGTCCCAGGCAGCAGCTGCCTGCAGGCACCCGGCTCGGGTGGTCCCAAGGGGCACTGTAATTGCGGAGGGAAGCACTGGGCCCCTGCGCAGCTCAGGCAGGCAGGCTCCAGGAGGTGGGGGGAGGAGATCAGGCTTGTCACTTTTCTTGGGTGCAGCCTGCTTTCCCAGGCTGCTGCCAGGCTGCCTGCAGGCTTTCGTCCAGTGCTTACCTCTGCGGCTGTAGGGGCAGCACCCAAGTCATTTAAGACTCATTACGCCACCAAATTTCCTACAGCGGTTGGAATTCATGCACATTATGCCACTGAGGCGTGCAAACACCGACACCATTAAAGTGGTGCAAAAAAGCATTTAGCCCACTTTAAAGTGTCATGCACACACGCCTCTCATTTCACCTACACACGGCCATTGACCCAGAGTGCAAATGTTCAGGGACCTCTGTGAGGAGACTGATGCAAAGTCACTGTGAGTCTTTCAGGTGGATTCAGCGTGCTTTGGATGGGGCACCAATTTTAGAACCCAACATAGAGAATGCTCAGTGAGCATTTGCCAACCTTGCCCAATTTCCAGGTTTCCCTCTGGCTTTCTCCTCTCTCCCCTCACTCCTGGCATCCTGTCTTCTCTTTGGGTTCTGGATAGCTAATTCCTGTCAGTGAAGTTTCATCTAAGTAATGGCTTCGGTATTCAGCTCGTGGACATCAAAAGGACTGATTCTGTAAGACTGCAAGTAGGAAAAGATGCTTGACTCCACCACACATTCTCAGTATCACAACAGGGTCAGTGCGATATGGATTTGGAATGGCCGTCATGGTCCTGAATCCTACTGTATTCACCTGCTCAGGGAAAGAAAACAGAAGGCAAGGCAGGGAGGCACCTTAAAGCCTTAGAGGTTGAGAGAGACAGGGTGACAGATTACTTTGTCAGATGCTAGGAAAAATAAAGAATACTGATCCTTCTGGGTTGTTCTCAGTGCCCTGGGCCACAGCAGTGGAAAATGTCCAAGATCAAAGCTTGCTCCTTCATCACATTGGTTTTGTTTTAGTTTCTCTCTCTGCCTAAACATCATTGTTAGCCTCTTTCTGACAAGTGGTGGCTATCATTGAAGAATAGCAAGTGGATTTGCAATAACATATGTACCAGGGACATGCCCTGATGTCTTCAGGTCAAAACACTTCAAATTGGTTTGGGTCTTCTTGGAAGTATTAAGTGTTAATAAGCATAAATTTGTTGAAGAACTTGAAATTCCCCTTTAATTTGTTCATTGCATCCATTTCATTTAAATGCCTTAATCCAAAAGTCTTTTCAGCTTCTTTTTGGGCTACATAATAAATGTTGCAGTTTGTAAAAGAAGCAAATGAAGATACAAATTTGAGAGAGAAACAACCAAATTATAGATTGCAGGGAGGGAAGCAGATACTATATTTTGTCTTCTTCCTGTTGTTGTCTTAAAAGCAATTTTGAAAGAGATGGGGTTAAAGAGGAGATCTGAAAGAAGTCAGTGTTTTAGCAGAACAAATTAAGACCCCAGATCAGCAAGATACTAAAGCACAAATTGTCCCTTTGACTTCCTTAAGACTACTTCCTTGCTTACAGTGTGTCTTTCTGAAGAACCTAAAAAAGCAGAGGGGATGAGGACTGTATATAGTTCTACTGACTGAGGTAGGTTACGTCAGTCACATGGAAAACAGAAGAAGTTAGAGCCTGAGACTGAAACTTGATTTTGGAGCGAAGCTTATGAAAGTATGGAGGGATAAGGAGAAATGGGAAAAGACGGGCGTTTGATCAGCACTAGAATTCTGAAGCAGCATTGATTAGGTAATTGAAGCGGACTGTATCTCCCTGGAGCAAGGTTCAGGAAAATAAGTCTGGCAATGAGAGGAAGGAAAAGGAGATGTAAGGAAATGAGAACAAAAATGTACAAGTTGGTATGTAGAGAACAGGAGGAGGAGACGACATTTTAGAAATGCTAAAAAATATGGAACTGAAAAGTTTTTGTCAAACAATGATCTGAGAAACTGGATAGATGGAGGATTATCAAAATAACTCCAAGAACATGGGTAGGAATAATAGAAGTCATGGTAAAAGACTAGAACAGGAATGAGATGTTCTGTTTTAGGCTGTTTTTCTTCTGGACACAGAAGTTTTGCTCAGGCAGCTCTCAAGAAGTGACCCAGGACATTTTTATTCTCATATCCTTTTATTCTCTTATCCTTGGTCCTGTGAGCCTGTTAGCCAAGATTCTGCTTTGGTTTTCTTTTGTTTTAGCCTAACCTAAATTACTTTAGCATCACACTTCCTGGGGTGAACTGTAGGCTAAACACAGATGTTGGTTTTATCTGGGGACTGATTGTCCTGGGCTGACTCCCATCAAAACAGGCACTGGACAGTCATTTACACATGTAGCTAGAATGGCAATTAACTCAAATAAGTCACTATTGTCCCAAGGTAAAGTGTGAATTCAGACCTTTCATAGGTATTTAAGGTGAGACAATGGCCTTGTCCTCTGCAGGCTTCCAGGATAAAAGGCCTTGTCTCAGGAGAAATCCAATTTCTGTACTTACTTTGAGTCGTGAGAATGGCTGAAGCGGATACACAGAGAACAGCAGCTCTAAAGAAACCTTTACTTTGTTATTACTAGGTTGGAAATGGCTGAAATGGGTGAGCAGAAGCAGTGCGGCTGAGGCCCTCAACCTACAGCAAGGCTAAGAAGGGATGATAGGAACGAATACAGGACTGTTTGCTTTCCCTTCCTCTTGCATTACTGTGGGATTCTTCTAGACATTTAATTAAAGCTATTGTCTGAATGCTCGACCTACAGATAGCTGTGTTTCCTTGAAACCACAACACAGCATCACCAAAGAAAATACAAGGGTGTCACAGAAGGAGCCAGGAAAATACCAATGAATAAAAACAGCATAGCAATTGAAGAATACATTTCCCAGAATACAGCACTCAAAGGTCATGAGGTCACAGATGCTCAGCTGCTCATGCATATCCCCTATTCTCTCCATTTGCATGCTTGCCGTGGAGAGGACAAAGATTTAATGAGGATAGGACAAGCTCTTGCAGTTTCCACCGTTCCTCAACCCCTACATCCGAAGCACTGCTGAAAACCTCTTTGAAGCTAGAATAGACACCCATTGAATTGACCCACTGTGCAAGCACAATCCCGGGTCTTCTGACCAGGTACAAAAACACAAGGTGGTCCTTGTCTTCAAACTGCCCTTGATATGAACAAAACCAAAGAATCAAAGACTTGTCATAGCCAGAGGTTGAGAAGGACTTTACCACTTTCGGGCATCTTGTTTGCCACCTCCCCCATCCACTTGCTAGCAAACTTTACTGCTCGGACTTTAAGCAGTCAGTGTACTTTAAT